TCTCTCCTATTTGCTCTGCTTCTGAAGTTACAGCTCTCTCCCACCAAGCACCTTTTCCTCAACCCATCCTCTCCATCAGGATTCCAGTAACCACCTTCCCTAAAGCCGCTGTCCTTTGGTCTGCAGCTCCAGAGGCTTCTCTTCTGTCTGAACACAGCTCAGAGATTTAAACTCCTTCCTCCTCCCCACAACAAAGAGAACAAAACCAGCTCCCTTCCCTACCCCGTATCTCCTCCTGCCAGACCCTCTGGAGCAGATCTGGTCAAACAGCCTGGCCAGATCAGTTCCCTTCCTGGCTCAGTTTCTGGGAAGTGGATGTGCTGTCCATTGGACAGAGGAAGTGCCAAGCCTTGGCAGGTTCCTTACTTATTTGCAAGACATAAGCTGCTGGCGTGGTGTCCGATGTGCATGCAAGAAAGTTGGATGCCATTTAAAACCTACAGTCCTGTTTGTTTCATGCACTGTCAAACTTATCCTATATACACTAGTGGCTGGTTTATGCTTGAAGCCATAAATATAAAGGTTTACATCTTCCTTTTACCTTAGTAACCAAAGCTTTTCTGTCACCTGTGGAATAGCAGGGGTTTGCTAGCAGGGCTTGTTTCCCTCTTCTGCACTTCCTCTCAATGTCTTTTCATCTCTCAACACTCAAGGCAAAGGGGGGATAGGAAGGGGACAGGCAGAATTACAGTCCCAAGGTCCCAGTCACTAAAGGTCCCTGAGTGACAGCACTATACAGTATCAGAAAATGAAGCAATAGAGTTGTGTTGGCCATGTATGTCCTGAGAGAGATTTCATTTCTATTTCTGCTCCTCCTTCTCCTCTTCCACATGCCTTCCCTAGGCTGTTACACATGGAAAAGGTGCAAAACATTCTCCCCCAGCCCAACGCCCTCAGGCAGAATGGAACACCCCTCATGTTCAAATGCTGAAAAGCACAACCCAGCAAGCAGCAGTCCTGCCCCAAGCTACCAACAAACCAAGCCCTGAGCATTGCCTTCTGCGCCACTGCAGCAAAAGCCAGAAGCAGCTCCACTTTGGAAAAGCACTCACAAACACTTTTGATGCCCTTTCCCCTCTGTGAAGAAGAGGAGGGCAGCAGTGGGCACGCCAGATGCAGCATGGAAATCCCCTCCACCTTTCTGGTAACACTCATGCTTGCGATGGCTTGAAACCTCTGAGCCTTGAGTATCAGTAAAATGTCCTGTTTTTCCTTCACTGTGCCCTTTCTGGGTCACTGGAGCTCAAAACAAGACAGGGGTTTGTTGCCTTCCTTAGGGGTGGAGGCAGGCAGCTGTGGAGGGGGGACACGGAGGTGCCACCTCACTTAGTGAGCAGAGCATTCCTAAAGGCCTTCAGCATCCTTCCCTCCCATTTCCTATTCCTCATCTCACTCCCAGGACTCTCTGTTGTTCTCCAGCACTCTGCCCCATCACCAGCAAGTGTAAGGCAGCTCCTGAACTGTGACCAGTCCTGACCACACACTCTTTGGCAAAGATCATTGTGTTGGACCCAAAAGTCCAGGAGTCGGGGTGTACTGACTCTGTGAGTAACACTGACCTGGTAATACCAAGTTAGAAACATTCAAAGAGAGAAACTAGGATGACTCCTGATAAGAAAGAGAGCCCAGCCAACAGAGAACTGAGGCCACAGCACAGGAGTCTGGCTCCCAGCAGGAGAAGAATCTGCTAAGCAGAGCTTTTTTCCCTGGAAAGCTTTTGGATTGTCACTGGGCTCAACCCTGCATTGAAGCTTCAAATATCGAACACAGCCTCCCTGTGCCTGCTCTCCGGTTTCTGGAGGCTGTACCTGCAGGGCACTGGTTGCTCAGGACCCCACTCCCTGTGGGGCTCAGCTCCTGAGAAGCACAGAGCATCCCTGGGGTTTGCACCATCTGTGTGCTGCTGGCCCTGCCAGCCTTTGGGGCCAGCTCAGACAGCTTTCAGGTGCCTAACTCATGGCACACATTTGTCAGGCTTTTACTACAACTGTCAGATTCCTGGAGTTCCTGAGTCATCTTCCTCAGCTTCAGAATTTCTTACCCCACAGCCATTTGTTTTCCCCCCAATCTTAATAGGCTTTTTATAACTGCCTCTTTTTCTCCCCATTTTATCCCTCTGACCACCCTTTACATTGCAAACACATATATAAAGGGTAAATTTTTATATATTTTATTGACTCCCCTTGCAAACTGGACCTGCTGATGGGCAGTCTCCATGTGGGAGCTGCAGCCATGCCATGCTGATATCCACTGACATTCTACTGCTGCTGTCATGAAGCACAACTTCATGACTTCCATTAAAGCATTTAAAAGATATTTCTGAATACAATCACACTAGGAAGTGTAACTTTCTCCACTGGCCAAGCTTTAAATTCCTGCAGATCAGGTAGACAGAACTACCTGATCCTCCAGACTCTTACTCCTTGACAGACCCCTACAGACCATTAACTGTTTGGGGAAAACCCATCCCCAACAGCACTGCTCATGGATGGGGAAACCAGCAGGAGACTGTTCTGCAGGGCAGGGGAGAATCTAAGTCTGATTTAACAATTGTGCTAAAACCTTGGTGAGTCCAGGGAGGCCTGGCCCAAACATGTGCATGCATGAACATGAGAGAGGGGGACAGACACATGGGGAAGGGGGGATGCTCTACTCCTATGCTTCAGATTCTGCATAAGACACATTGCTGATATAAAAATAACAATAATTACTCTGATGAGGCCTGATCCTGCTTCAGCCAAGTCCAGGCAAAACTTTCCCTGACTTCAGTGTTACTGGGTCAGGCCTGAAGTGATTCACATTTTCATAGTACTGTACAGACATAAATTAGTGAATGAAAGATGTGCATCAGGGTCATCTGAAAAACAGGAGTTTCCCTGGTCTCAGAGGATCACTCTGCTCTCCCAAGCAATGGGAATCAAGCAAAAGGAAAGAGAATGCTAGGAGGAAAATAAAAGGATGGTTGGCTAAAGGGCAACGTGGGTGTCCAGGGGTCTGACACAAAAAAACTCTATCAGGTAAGAACAAGGTTCTCATCATTACTCCAGGATTGGCAGAATGACCCTAGCGTTAACGTTTTGCACTTGTGAATTTAACATTTTCATGGCTTTTATTAATAATATAAGGGAGATTATCAATCATCAGTGATTGCCAAAGTGGCCAATAATTCAGTGATTTTCCTGAAAGTCACTGGCTCCTTCGGAAAAGTCTGACCTTGCTGTCCAAGGCCAAGTTCCCCTCCTGTGCCATCCTCAGGAATGCCTGTGGATGGAAGCTGCTGGAGACTCAGGGGCTTCGAAAAGCACCAAGCTCAGCATTTTCACTGCAACCTTCCCCCTGCCCAGCTTTTGGAGACCATCATTTTCCAGCAGGATGATGCTCCATGGACCTCCACCTCATCCTCAGCTTCATCATCTGAAGGAAGGGCACAGGGTGATTTTTTCTACACTCTCTGCATCTTGACAGCCATAAAGTGAGGCCTGGTAGAAGCATCACAGATTAGAGGTTGCCAGCCCACCATTCGCTCCTGAACTTCTTAGGAAAGGGGATCATTATCATTTCCCTATTTTTTTTCATCCTGAAACATAATGAAGTTAAATGATATCCAGCCTTTCCTGAGCCTTGATGCAGGCTATGGTCACTCAGAGGGCTGGAGTGTGGATCCATTGTCTGGCACAAGGAACAGGGAGAGGGGGAATGGATTGAATTTTTAGAGTCTTTCAATTGCTTTTCTCTCCAGGCTCAGTAAGGAAGATGCAGGGTGGGGATAATTAGGAACAACCCCTCCTCTGAGGGCTGAATCAGCTTAGTCTCCTCGAGATCAGCTGCCAGCAGTGACCAGCATCACTGCCCTATTGCTGATCCCCAAATCCCTCTCTTCCCTCAGCAAGTGCCAATTTGCACACTGCCTCCCCAGCTCTGCCTCTGGAGCTGGGACCCCGACCTCCAACCTGGTGAAGCTGCAATGAGCAAACAAACCCCTGCTATTCCCCCCCCCCACCCCCCACTCCCCCCCCCCCCCCCCCCGACAAACACACTGCCAGTTAAATGTCATCTGTGTTCTCTTTCTACAAAAGATATTACAAAAGCCCCCTCCCCAGCCCCCCTCCCCAGAAAACATGCTTGCACACACACATCCATGGACACACGTGCCCACACACACACACACACACACACACAGATGCTCCACACACGCACATTCACACAGGAAAAACAGCTTGCAAACTCCTGAAGGTGGAAAAAGGCATCTTGCAAATGTGCCTTGGTTTTGATAAGTTCCCTCCTCCCCCCCTCCCATAAACCCCATGTTGCCCCTTCCCTCCCAATTAATTGCCTCATCTTCCCCTCCCTTCCCTTCCCAGCTCTTCCAAAATAAATATTCTTTTTATTTGTTGGTTTAAAAGACTCTTTTAGGCTTGTAAGCAAGAGAGAGGGAGAGAGAGAAAAAGAAAAGAAAAGTCTCTTAGCGTGAGAATGAAACCCCATCATCTCAGGAATCTATGAAAGAATAAACATGAAGGGGTTAAAAGCAGTGACAGAAGAAAGATTAAAAAATATATAATAGGACTGAAAAGTGAAAGATGAAATTCAGTAGTGAAATGGAAGTGAGGATAGAGCATGAGTGAGCACAGCCTATCGCCCCCACCAGTTTTTTACTCAATTTCTTTAAATCTCCCCCCCTCTTTTTTTTTTTTTTAACTTTTCTTGGTTTTGGGGTTTTTTTGTGTGTTTTTTCTTTTTTTTCTGTCTTTTTTTCTTTTTTCTTTCTTTCTTTTTTTTTTTTTTTTTTTTACAATGGTGTAAGTCCTTCAGCAGGAAACCAAAATCAAGACAAACACATCCCTCCCTGAAACCAAACCCCCTCCCATACCTTTCTCTCCCTTTACCCCACCCCACACTCCGTGGTTCTACATGTGCTGAAAAGAGAAGAGTAAGCTTAGAATAAATCTAATGAACCATAGGAATAAATGACAATGATAGTAAAGAGTAAAACCCAAACCCAAAAGACCACAACACTCCTGTGTTGTCATTGTCTGAGTGTCTGTCCCTATTATCTCTCTCGGAGGCCGCAGGCATCAATTTACATAGTACAACCAGTAAACAAGGTTGAAGAATCCAAAAGTGATTGGAAAAATGATCCGTGACCACTTGTCAATGGTGCTGACGTCTGTCAGGTCTGGGATTTTGAGCTTCAGCTTGGACGACCGCCGGCGCAGGCGGCAGTTGGCGCGGTTGCGGGCGGCGGCGTGGTGGGTCAGCGGGACGTGGCGGTCCAGGGTCGGGTGGTGGCCAAAGCCATCCCGAGAGGCCAGTGGCTTGCGGAACTGGATTCCTGAGCCTTCGAAGGACATGACAGAGTTTCGAGAGTCGCCCACGCTGCTCATCATGTCCGTGGCCAGCAGCTCGTTGTTCATGTCCAGCGTGCTGAGGAGGATGTTACCGTAAGGGTCAACCTGGAACGGGGAATACAGACACAGAGGTACTGGGTTGTGGCATTCACATTCTCTGGAAAAGTCCCTTCACCCAGGATTTTTCTCCTGGGAAGATGAGAAGCCTCAGAGAAAAGGAAAACAATTCTTATCTCATCTGCTTCTCCTCTGTTTTGCTCCTTTGGAATGTGTTTGGAGATTGTTTCATTGGATTCTAGTGTGAGTTGTTTTGACTCTTTGGCCAACTGGGGCCAAGCTGTGTCGAGACTCTGGAGAGAGTCACAAGGTTTTATTATTATCTTTTAAAATGAGTATTCTTTCTGTATTCTTTAGTATAGTACAGTATCCTTTAATATAATATAGTATTATAAAGTAATAAATTAGCCTTCTGAGAACACGGAGTCAGATTCATCATTCCTGGCTTCGTCAGGACATTTCCCAGAAAATACAATAGCGGGTGTCCTGTGTACCATTAGGGGTGATTCTGAACAGATTTCTGGGGAGCAATACTGTTGGAAATTATATAACTTATAAAAAATTAACTTTAGTCATGGGTTGGTTTGCCTTTGCCAAAGGGGGGTGGAAATTAAGGTTTCTCTTCAAAAGATTCTGTTCACCTAGGGTTTGAGTCTCACTAGGTGAGGCCTCAATCAGCAAAAAGAAGATTCCTAGATTCTGAGAGCTTAATATCTACGGGGTGGAAGTAGTCAGAAGACACATAGGAGATAGAGAGACATTAACAGGTATTAAAGCCCTGGCAGGTTCCCAGTCTGGGACAAGATTAATAAGATAGTCAAAGAATGAGAACCAAAAATAGCATTGAAGGAATCAATAGCCAAGAGGAGATCAAATACTAAGAATTGTGCAGTGCAGAACCAAAGAAAGAGCAATTTCTTTGGGGGGGGGGGGGGGAGGGAGGTGGTTTAACGTGTAAATATGTGAAAATTCTGGTAAAGAATCACATGTGGTTGGAATGATTTCCACTGCACATCCTGGCCAGAATAAAGTAATGCCTTTAATACTTAAAAGATGATCTTGGGGAGTTCCTTTTCTTCCCCAGAGTTTGGTGACTGTACCCCCGATGGGGTCATTTGTGAGCTCTGAACATGCTGCATTTGAGGGTTGTCCTCTGCTGCTGGGATAGAAGGAGCAGCCACCTGTTCTTGCAGCACATTTTTTACTGGGGAAAGTGTGGTTCTGCCAACACAGGAGGACAAAAAGCCACAGAGGGACTTTTGGCTACACCTGCCCCACGCAGGAGGAGGGCTCTGATGCGACTGGATGAGGATGATCAAGGCAAAAAATTCCCAGTAATCACCAGACAAGGAAAATTGGGATTCATCTCTCGTGATGAGCACAAAGGCTGCTCTGCAGCTCACCCAGTGGAGAGCCTGAATTCTCCTGCCACAAGGAAAGGAGAGGACAAACCTGCTCTCTCACCCTCTTCTCCTCATAGCGGTGGCGCTCGTTGTTGGCCTTGCTGACGCGCTCACTCTGCTTCTTCTGCTGCCGGGGCCCTCGCCCGAAGAATATGTAGTTGACAAAAGCATATTCCAGGAGGGCCAGGAACACGAAGACGAAGCAGCCCATGAGATAAACATCAATAGCCTTGACATAGGGGATCTTGGGGAGAGTCTCCCGCAGGTGGGTGTTGATGGTTGTCATGGTAAGCACCGTGGTGACCCCTGTGAGGAGAGGGCAGGCGCTCTGTTACCCACTTGGGATGGTTTCCTGGAATGCTGTCCTCTGCTTCCACATCCCTCCTTCCAGCTGGACAGCCTCAGGAGGGATGGGAGCAGTACAACTGGGAAGGAAGCTGTCGTTATTCTAAGCCCACATGCCCACTCCAAATTGCTGCAGAAAATGATCCAGCAGCAAACAGCTGGAGAAAGTGTCAAAGCTGAGCATCACTAGCATGATGGGGATCAGCATCCCTGTTTCTTTAAGTCCCCCTGATCTTCTCTCTTTCTCTCAGTGTGGTAGGAAACATTCAGTTTTGCTCTTTTTTACCCTCTTCTCCTCACTTTTTTCTCCTTCATGAACTCATCAGGCTTCACTGTGGGCGACTGAATGCCTCAGCATCCTTGGCATCATGAGTTTATAAAACTGCTGTGTCTTTCAAATGCCATGAATTGGAGAAAAAGTGAAGAGATTTCCTTCTCATGGCATTCTCTTTTTTTTGCCTGCCTTGTAGGCTTCTGTCCTTGACCCCATCAGTTCCCACCTTCCTCTCACCAGCTTTACCATTCATTACATCAATTATCGCTTATACACATTCCTCCCATGGTTCTCACACTCTCCTTTTTAGGCCTCCTCACATTTCTTGCATCTTAAATGAGCATTTTGTGAACACTTTTGTCCCCATCTACTCAGTTCCGAAAGCCTGATTCACTATGATTACTCTCACAGCTTCAGTCCTCTTCTTCAGCTTCTTCTCAGACTCCTCCCTTCTCTGGACTGTGCCTCAGACCTGCCTCTTTGACAGCCTTCTGCCAGCTCCAAAAACACGGCAACGAGCCTTCACACTTCTTTTTTGGAGTGGTAACTCTTCCCCTCCAACCCAGTCTTCCTCTGCTTCTCTAGCTGTTCTTACTACCTTGCTGATCTTCTTTTCTCCTTTTTCCCTTCTCTTCTCTCTGTTGGCAGCTCTAATAATCTCCATGACCTTAATTTGCTCCTGTGGTTTCAGCCCCACCTCTACAGTGATGGCTCTCTGTGCACCCTGGACCTCTGCTTGCTCTGCTTCCCCTTCACCCTCGCTGTGCTTTGGTGTCATTCCTGATAAAAGACTGAGAGAACTATTAGCCTTCAGTTGGGTAAACAGAAGGGAGATATATTTGTATACACACAATATGGTCTATATTTAGGCAGTAGTCTAAATATACAGAAATCTGAGGCAAGGAAAGGGAGAATAGAATGTTCTCCATGTCTCCATTAAGAAGTGGATGAATTGCAATGGAGACTTAGGGCAAAGAGGAGCTCTTTGACTGTGCAAGCAGGTAAATCTGGAGATAAAGTGACCAGAGGAGGCTGGGGAGTTTCTTTTTTTTGGAGCTTTTTATGGATAACTTAGGTCAGGAACTGTCAGGAATAGTTTAGAGAGAGCTGTTGCAGTTCTGATCTACAATGTTCTTTTTCTGTCTTCTCTCCAGATGTCAGCAGAAACTCAACAGCTGTGTATCTCACCTCCACCCTCTTGCTTGTGCTTCCACAATGTCTGCCATGGTCTCTTTTTCTTCTCTCTCTGATTACACTCCTGTCAATGCAACTTACACTTTGAATTTACCAATTTCTTCTTCTTCCCTCCCTGCTCCAGCCTCTCCAAGCAGGAAAAGCCAAATCACCCCTTTTATACCTTTCTACAACCCACCCCTCCTCTGAGTCTTCTCAAACTCATTCTCCTAGACCTGCTTGAAGCACCCAGGCTTTGCTGTAAGACCCAGCCTGTACCTGAGCTGCACTGCCTCTCTGAGCCTTGTCCCACTCACAGATCCAACCTGCTCCTCCTGACCTCTCCTACTGCCCTGGAACTTCCCCTCGTGTTGCACAGCCCCATTCTCATATGCCAGCCATCCCCCTTCTTCTGTTCCTCCTTCCAAACCCTCATCTGCCATCCACCCCCACTGCCCTTCTGTTGCTTAAAAGACCTCATTTCCACCCCCCTCTTATAGGAAAACATTCCTATTTAGGGAGCATGTGCCAAAGAAGGACTTGGACTTTAACTGCTGTCCCACATTTGCCTTGGCCATGAAGGTCTTTGTCTGCAGAGAGTGTCTGTATGGGGCCTGAGCTATCAGAAAAACGTGCAATGCCCCTTCCTTTATTTCTTTCGTCTTTTAATCATTCCCATACAACCTTTTGGCTGTCCAGCCTCAGCATTAATCACACAACTGGCCACTCCTGGCACACCTGCTGACAAAGAGGGGCCCAGATTTCTCTTCTCAAGAAAACCAGTGCAAACCAGAGTGAAGGAACTCAGGACATGTCAGGGTCCCACGTTCCTGAGAATCAGTGGCCATCTGCGTTTTTGTTTGGAGAGTTTAAACACACACCCAGGACATTTTTGGTAGGACCTTTACTGATTCAATTAAACAGGCTCCAGTTTGGGAAGTACTAATAAACAAAACCAAAACAAAACAAGTAACACTTCTGACTGAAAATTTAAATTTTTTTCAGAAAAAAAATTTATGTCCATTTGGGATGACGACTTTGACAGACTTGCTTAATTGCTACCTCGTAAAGAAAAGGGATTTTCTTTGTTTCAGCTGATCTCCCTCAAGAAAACAACTCTGAAATACAACAAAAATGTCCATACCCAGTGCCACTCGTGCAGCAGAAGCATCATAGTTGATCCAGAAGGAGACCCAGGACAGGATGGTGATGAGGATGGATGGCATGTAGGTCTGCAGGATGAAGTAACCAATGTTCCTCTTAATCCTGAAACTCAGGGATAAGCGCAGATACGAACCTGCCAGTGAGACATCAAAGGAGGATGTGGTGTGAGAGCAGGGCAAGGCTGGATTTGTGCTAAGAGCTTAGGTTAGGAACTGAAATTTTATTTGGACAAAGTTCTCAAGAGGCAGGAACAATGAAAAATCTCCTGTTTTCTGCAGAGGGTTTTGCAGACTGGTCAGTTTTTGCAAGGGGTCCCTTCAGAATTTGCTCAGTTGCCCCAGAGTATTAAGAAGAAAGGAAACTCTACATAAGTGACATTATTATATCAGCCATCGTGGCAGAATGGCTGTTCAGTGCTGGAATTGCTGTTGTGGTGCCAGCCAATATGATGGAGGCTTACACAGGAGATTTTAACCCTATATTTGGGTGCCACTAGATGATTTTCCAATGTTTTGTGTGCCAGCTCTGCCTCCAAACAGCAATGAAGATCTGAATCATATTTTTCCCATGCTGTTCTAAAAATGGGTTATGGTCAGACTGGGCAAATTCATATGCAAATAGAGTACTGTTAGTTAATCTGAAGGTCTCTTTTTTATTATTTTCCAGTTGTTGCAACTTCTTACTAATCTTTTAGCAAACCTAATGAGGATAGTGAGGACAATAAGTACTTTTTACAGTCCTTCCACTGGAGCAGGCTAATTTTGACAGGGACAAAGCAGTGTCTCTTTCATTGCTGTGAGACAAAGTCCAAATAATTTCTCCTGCCCACCTCTGTCCCTCAGGCAACACAGGAGCCTGAAGTATGGGTTTTCTTGGTAATCCTGGCTGGCAGCTAAAGTAAACAAGAAAACAGCAGTTTTAAACCATCAAGGATATAGACTGGGAAAAAGGAGGTGTTGTTTTCTCACCACCATGTGCCATTTGTATGGCTTGAACACAATATTTCACCAGTCTTTTTTTGACAGGTGTGTGCTGTGCTGTTTTGGCAGTGAACTCCACCTCAGACCAGCAACCAAAATCCAACCCCCTCCAACTTTTCAGCTGGCAGCATGTGAATCGTCCCAGGTATTCTCTTGAAACCTTTTTATTGCCATGTACAGATGGGTTTGCATCATTTCATAGCCCACTTGCTTCTCAATGGATATATTTTCTCCTTACTATTGCACCTACATTAGCTTTGAGACCCAGATGTAAACCACATAAAAAATCAGATGAAGGCTGAGAACCTTCTGAAGAGGTTCTGAGCTCACTCATTATTTTGACTAAGAAATGGGAAAAATTGCAGTGGGGAAAATGATCCTGAAAGTCTTTGAAGAGAAGCAGACATTAAAAAAAAAAAAAAAAAGAAGAAGAAGAAAGAAAAAAATAAAATGAGAAAAAAGCAAAACTGTTGGGTGCAGAAGACACTTTTTTATAGAGGAACCCCAAGGTGAAGCCTAGATCCTGAGTTAGTGCCCCAGCATGTGAACCAGAGGGATTCAGACCAACTGATCAGCAGCAGGCTTGCCCATTCCATGCGTCCCTTCACCAGAGACTCACCAGTGGTGAAGACCACTTCCCTGCTGACCAGCCTCTGCTCGATGATGGTGAACTGGGGCAGCTCCAGCACCTCCATCCCCGTGACAGCAGAGTCATTCCCTTGCCAGAAGAAGACAATGTCATCCACCGTGTAACCATCTGCAGGGAGGAAGGAGCACACAGGGAGAGCTGAGCTGACAGGCTGGACCAGAGGACAATTCCATTTGCACTAAAATGATCTGGAAAAGTATCCAAAAGAAAGCCCACACCAAGCCTAGCCGCTCCTTGCTGATGTACTTTACTTCTTCAGCTCAGCTTGGCAATACAGTCCCCAGGAGAGGAGATAAAACTGGCCAGGACTCCCACTTCTGGCTAGAATTCAGAGCAAAGGTGAGGCATCCAGCCTCGACTTGCACAATGTGATCTCCATGGCTGATATGACAGGGACTTGGGCACCAGGAGCCTCTGTCAAATGCACCAAACGCAGCATTTTGCTTTTTAAAAACTGCCTCCTTTTACCAGGAGGGGGAGACCATACAGTGCAGAGTGGTGGGACTGGGTAAACAGGGCAGCTCGGTATTAAAAATTCCCAGAGAGGAGAAGATCTGTAGCAGCAGTTGAAAAGAAGTTGGAAGATCAGAGCACCTCCCTTTTCTAAGCGCTCTCAGTCAAAATTCAGATCGAAGAAGTGAACAGAGTCTCTGAGGCTGGGGGCTGTTTTACCAAGTGCTGGCTGAGAAGAGCAGTAATGAGAGAAGAGAGGAAGGGGAGCCAGCCTCAAATATTCATCCCTTACATTTCAGGGCCATGGGTTTGCTAACTCAGCCAAGCTTCTTGCTTTAACCCCAAAATATACGCGGCAGGCAGGGCTGCATGGGCTGGAAATGTGACCCCCAAGTGCTCTGGACTCGTGGGGGATGAGGGCCGGGGGATGAAACACCTCACCCACCAGTGCCTGTCCACAGCCCTGCCCTGTCCTTGGGGCAATGATACATCACAGCTTGAAAATCAGATCTCTGTATGTTTTGAAGCCCTTTGGCTGTAGCTGCACGAGGGTGGTCTCAGATTCAGTAAAGCTTCCTGGGAGCAGTAAGAAATGACCAGGCTTTGGTGCAGCTCGGGGCAAGGCTGCCTTCAGAGTGTGAGCCCCACGTGTGCGCACAGACAGCCTGTGTTCAGCACTGCACTGCAGCACAGCAGCCTGCCTTAGCCACCCACCCTGGCAGCACAGGCCATGCCAGGCTCACAGCCACTCAGCAGAGTGCCACCACACCCAGCAGCTGGCATCAGGGCAACGAGGGGCTGTTGAATGCAGCACCGAGGAGAAATTCTTCTTTGGGGGCTAAGGGTTACCCCAGATCAGAGGTGAGCCCTCGAGGACAGTGTGATCCTGAAGCTGCTGAGTGGATAAAGGGCTCAGCAGTCCGCTCTGATCTCACAGCTGACTCTGCTTTGAGCTGCAGGCTGGACTAGAGACACCCCGAGGTGTCCTCCCAAATGGAATTATTTGATGAGTGTGCAGTCTCCAAGCCCACATCCTGCGCTCTCACTCATTACTGCGCTTATTCATGGGTGCCAAAATACAAACCCAATCTTCCAAATGCCATGCCACATCTGCTTCTGATGGAAATCGGCTAAGCCAGGGCTCCTCCTCCTCCCCCAGCTGGCATGTTCCTGCTCCCAGAGTGGCAAACCCTCACACCTTCGAGCCCCCAGGGTTTCAGGACCCTTGGTTATCCTGCTCACACTCCATCTCTGTGCACAGCACCTCTTTTGCATCACTCAGCCCCAAGATGGAACCAGCAGGAAACACCAAATCCCCTCCACTCCTGCTGATTCCAACCCCCTCCCAGCTCAGAAACACTGTGCATGATTTCATGTGGGAATTTATCTGGCTCAGACCCTCAGGCTCCTGTGGTTGTTCCCAATTTCTCCAGGAGGTTCCGGAGCCCTTTCCTCCCAGAGTTCCCCCTCTGCAGAGGTGAGACCAGCCTGGAAACAATTCACCTCTGCACCTCCTTTGCAGTAAACAAACCACACTGAGCTGTTGAGGTTTCTCACTCACTGCACAACATGTGCTCCAGCCCTTGAACCACTTTTCAGCATCTTCCCTCAACCTCTTCCGATTTCTCAGCTTCCTCCCTAAATTTTGGAACCCAAACACAGACAGAGCCCGTTTCCCCATCTCAGTGACATGTTCAGAGGCCAATCAATGCGGAGCTCTGACTCACGGCTCCCCAGGTTTATATAACAGGGCTCTCTCCAGCCCTTCCTGCCAGAGGCACAGAACCTCCGGCCTCCCTCAGCTCTCCGTGTGGCTCCAGCCCCGGGGATGGCCCTGCAGTCCTGCACACAGGCCCAGAGCTCACAGAACTCGGCTGTGTTCAAAGCCCTTCCGGATGGATTCCGATTGGGAAGAATTCAAATGCGCAGCGAGCGAAGCCCCGCACGCTGCTATCTTCATCATCCACAAATTTAACAGCAGTGACTTCAAATTTACTTCCTGATCAGCAATGAAAATGTCAAATTGCAGTAACTAATTTTAGGAGATCTCACAGTTAACTAGCTCTATTCCATTTATTCTATGACCTGCTGGTGCTGGGTACCAATTTTTGTATTTTAATTTTTTTATTATGGCATTATGCAATATGAAATCGAGCATGTTTTTCATGAAGCCATTTTTAAAAAGTGTTTCTAAAGGGAAAGGTTGCTTGGTCTAAAAATAAATGCTTCACTTTGATTTCTAGCTTTAAAGAGAAAACCAAATTTCCATTTTACTTCTAAAAAGTAAACGAACTTTCACAAAGACAAGTTATTTCCATCTGAAATATCGAAAAGTATTGATGTGACGTCTTAAAATGTCAGATTAGCAGTCTGTTTGCAGCCTGCCTCATCAGGTTTTTGTTGGATCCTGGCATGCAGATAGGCAGGGTATACGTGGTTAGGGTTATTTTTGGGGTGGAGGGATGGGATCAACAGGCAGTGCTTATCTCCTACAGGTAAGAGCCCTGAGCTGCTTCCCAAACCCAGCATCCCTGCATCAGAAAAGGGCTTTTTCTCTGAGGTTTGGGTCGGTGTTTTTTTTAAAGTACATTGTTTTTATAATCCAGCCCTGAAAGGACTGATGTTCCAGAGTCAAGGGGAAACAAAGAAAATGGAGCCCTGCAGATTGCAAATGTGCAAGTGTGTAAAAGACAAAAGCTCTGAGGGAGGAAACAACTGGATCTCCTCATCTCGGCCTGGGTCTCAGGAATATTGTGAGGAAATGTAGCTTTGGTGAACAAATTGGCTTGACATGACCCATTAAGAACAAAATCACAACACGGGGAACTGTGGGTAATTCCCTGCCTTCTGTTCGCTTGGTTCTACTGTAAATGGTTCCCAAACTGCTGAGGAGTGGCAGAAATGACATTCTGGCACTCGTGCCTGCAGCAGGACCTCATTTCCATCCCCTGACCCTGCACGGGTAGGATGGGGAAGGCAGTGCCCAGCCAAGGTGCTGTGGGAGCTCCCTGATGGAAGGAGCAGCTCCCAGATCCCTCTCTGATGGAAGGAGCAGCTCCCAGATCCCTCTCTGATGGAAGGAGCAGCTCCCAGATCCCTCCCTGATGGCAGGAGCAGTTCCCAGATAATCCCCCCGAGGCTGCCCCGGGAGCTCTGCTGCCCCTCAGCCCTGGAGGGAGCCTGCCGTGCATTTTTATCAGGGAGAGCTGCACCTCCTCTGCCAGCACAGCTGGAAGAGGATTTCCATGGGCGTCCAGGGAGCATCCAGGCAGGGATGAGGGCTTGGGTGCCACCTCCCACACGGAATGAAGCCAGCCATGAGCCAGGACAGCTTCCCATGGCTTCTTTGAGGCTAAGGGAGGCTTCCCCCACCTTCCTGGGGCTGATTTTAATGCCCAGCCTGCTGCCAGAGCCCCGTTTTCCCGGGAATTTCCCCCATGGGTGAGGAGCCCGGCGCTGTGGCAGCCCTGGGAGGCATCCCCAGGAGCGGGGAGCTGTGGCCGGGGCGGGTGGCATCAGGTGGCACCGCGTGGCAGGGGATGTGCCCGAGGCATACGCACAGCTCTCGATCTCCAGCGTGCAGTTCTGCTGGTCCAGCGGGTACCTCCGCAGGTCCATCATGCAGGCGGCCGTGGTGGTGATCCTGAAAGGGGAAGAGGGACAAAAATGAAAAATAAAAAAAAAGAAAAAAAAAAAAACGGAATGAAGCCAGCCATGAGCCAGGACAGCTTCCCATGGCTTCCTTGAGGCTAAGGGAGGCTTCCCCCACCTTCCTGGGGCTGATTTTAATGCCCAGCCTGCTGCCAGAGCCCCGTTTTCCCGGGAATTTCCCCCATGGGTGAGGAGCCCGGCGCTGTGGCAGCCCTGGGAGGCATCCCCAGGAGCGGGGAGCTGTGGCCGGGGCGGGTGGCATCAGGTGGCACCGCGTGGCAGGGGATGTGCCCGAGGCATACGCACAGCTCTCGATCTCCAGCGTGCAGTTCTGCTGGTCCAGCGGGTACCTCCGCAGGTCCATCATGCAGGCGGCCGTGGTGGTGATCCTGAAAGGGGAAGAGGGACAAAAATGAAATTAAAAAAAAAAATAAAATCTGTTGTGTCTGCTTTTTTCTTAAAAAAAGAGAATAAAAGGAGAAATGAAAGGCATAAGTGAAAGTCAGGCAGCATTTGGGGCCGCTGTTTCCCTGGAAACCAGGGAGATCCGGGGTGGGAGGTGTGCAGGGGGGGGCTGCTGCGGCTCACCCCCAATGGCACGGCACAAACCTCCGTGACTCACGTCAGCAAGGCAGCATCTCTGCTAACGGGGTGGGGAGGGGTCTGTGTGCCCGCTCTGCCTCTCCCTGGAGAGAGACAAAGAGCCCGGGAGCAGGCACAGCTCCGGCTTGGGGGGGAAGAGGGGAGGCTGCCGGCGTGGGTCGGGGAGACAGCCGTGTCCGTGAGGCTGGGCATGGGCTGGCTCCATCGCCCAGCAGTGACCTATTGCTGACGGCATTATCACCCCCCTTTCCTCACAAGCTGCCCCAAACCCCCTAATGACAGCTCCCCTTCCCCGTGCCCCTCCGTCGTGCCCACTTCGGCACTGCCAAAGCCCAAAGCCCAAAGCCCAGAGGGCTCCGGCAGAGCCCTCCCGCTCCACGGCCCCGCTAACGGAGGCACCCGCGCACAAATCATTGCGTGGTCATCAAAGACACTTGGGGGATGTGTGCGGGTGTGTGTGCATCCCCCAAAAAATAAATATGGGGAGAGGACGAGGGTGGGTGCTGCTTTGGGGTGTTGGAGCATGGGGAGGACACAGAGCAGCGCGGTGCCTGCGCTGAGGTTCAGCTGAGGATGCCAGGAGGATCTGTGTGTGCTGTACAGGAATATTGTACGTCTCTGGGATGCGGGATTTTGGGGTGGCATAGATGAGGGCATGAGAGGCAGGGACAGAGTTAACTCCCCAGCATGGCAACAGCGCCCTGGAGTTAACAGGCTGCCCCTGTTTCTCAGATCTATTGCTCCCCTCACCCTTTGATGCAGTCTTCCCGTGCGATGGATGTGTGCAGAGAGGGGGGAGAGATTGCTGCATTCTCCCCCTATTTTTTCAATTAACCATCTGGAAGGCATTAATCAAGCTACACATTTTTTACTATGTAGGCATAACCAGTGAACTGTTAACTAGAAAGCTTTATCTTCTGAGCCCTGTGGCCTGAGAGAGAGAAAAGAGAGGGAAAAAAAAGAAAAACAAGAAAGCAGGGAGGATGAGATGGCGAACCAGTGAAAGAGAAGGAAAAAAAAAAAGAAAAAAGAAAAAGCAAAAAACATCAATGGTAGAAAAAGAGACCAGAAAGGGGGAGAATATGGGTGAAGCTGGACATAAAATTGGAAATGGGGAGGAGGGGGGAAGAAGGGAGGGTAGAAGAAGGCGGAAGAGGGCTGCCCCAGTGGGGGTATCGGGGCAGGGGCTGTGGCGGAGCAGGCTGGCAGCCCCGCAGAGCTGCTGGCTCTTTAAGAAATCTCGTGTGCTAAATTTATCTTCTCTGCTGTCTGTGAAGTCTGTTTGTAGGAGATGAAGCCTTGAGGAGAGCCTTTGCCACTGCCTGCCGTGCTATAAATAGATCCGAAGAGACGAAGGGAATTTATATATATCCTCACTGGGTCTAGATACAACACTGCAACTGCCCTCTCTCCGAGCAGGGGGCCCGGGCGAGCTCTTAACCCTTTCATCTGTAATGCACTTGGGGTGGAGGAGAAAGCTCTGAGGGGGGAGAAGGACAGCAGGACAGGAACAACTTAAAAAATTACCACCGCAGCCTTGCCCTTGCGTGGATTGCTTTCACAGCCTCCCAGCCAGGCAGCTCTAGGAGGGCAGCTGGGAGCACAATGCCTGTCCCACCCTAATCCTGCTGCTGTGCTGGAGTAACTGGGCATTATGGTGGTGGGGGCAAACCAAAAGGGGAGCTGCAACCTTGGCAGGAAAGCCCAAGGTGGAGAGTCCACGGTGGCCGGGCGCAGGGACCAAGGAGCGGGATGAGTCATCCCCCTGTGCTGCGCACAGCATCCACTCCCTGGATTATGCTGCACCCCTGGGAAATCGTGGCCACAAATGCGCTTCCCTGTTTTCCCTAAAGTGTGAGATGCAAAAAATGTATTAAATGAAAATTTTCCACCCCATTTGTGGAGCCCCGCGGGCTAAAACCTTTGCACAGTGTCCATCCCAAAATCGCAGCCTGGCTGGCTGGCTTGGCTGCAGAAAGGACATGCAGGCTGCTCTGCTCACACAGGGACCCTCTCGCCAGGATTTGCTTATCACCTGCAGTGCTGGTTGGAAATGCAGAGCGTGACACAGTGAGAGATGGCTACCACACTCCATGCACCAAACCCTGCTCACGCTGGCAGCTGGCAGAAATCCGCAGCCACGCCAATGATTTTTGCAAGATCACACCAATTTGTATCAGCAGAGATTTACATCAGGGCAGAATTTAGCCCTGTTGATTCAAAAGGAAGGGACAGGTAGGACAGAAAGGAGAAAAACAAGATTAAGAGGACATTTGTCCTCAAAAAGCCAGATAATTTCTTTCTTTGCAATTAAAGGGCAGGTATATCCACACTGTGTGGCTCAGCATCCTCCAGACATACCCCAGTTAGACGCAGATCCCAAACTCTATGATCTGCACATATAAAGCTGCTTGGGCAGGTAAAATTGGAGCCATGTCAGGCTTTGCTGTGGTTTTTGAGCAGAGGTGGCACAGCCATCCACAGCTGTGCCAGCCTGCAGCCACCTGCTCATCCAGAGTGTTTCACCTGCAGTGCCTGCCCAGCCTGGGGACACCAGCACTGCGGGACCACCGGGCATGATGGCCTGGGTGGAACAAGATTCAAGAGGCAGCTGGTCTGGGGCACCAGGTCCAGCTCAGGTCCTGCCTCTGGGCTTCCTAAACCCTGATAAACCAACCCAGCTTGGGGTAGAGCAAGTGGTGTATCCCAGAGAGATGGAGGTGTGTGATTCTTTAGACTTCAGATCTTATGAAGTATCCTGGACACTCTATTCCCTTTGATAGATCCTGCCTGAAGAGTCAACTTTCACCTGCTCCTAGAGGGGCCAAGGAGGGTTTTCTCCAGCTCCTTTGGTGGCTGTGTACCCAGGCAGGTGGGACTCATGGAGGGATGAGAGGCTTCATGCACCTCTCACAGTCAAAGGGGAGCATGAGCAAATCTGTCACCTCAGTGACCTTTTGGGGTCACAGTACATGCTACCTCTGGTCCAGAAGGCCACAGGACTAACCTTTGCCTCATTCTTTCATGGGTATAAATGTATTACGTGGATATACTCTGAGCTGTTGTGTGAAGAGATGGGTTTGCCTGGCACATGGGAGACTGCATGGAGGACAGGACAGGGGGATGGAGGGGGGGTTGACAATCAGGAGCTCCTGTCTCAACAGGCTTAAGAGAAAATCAAGGTGGAAGGAAAGTAAGAGGTGGAAAAATGAGGAGAGATGATGGCATGAGCACAGCTAGAGAAGGCAGGAGTGGAGATGACAGAGAGCAGAGCAGAGAGCACAGGACAGAGCAGCAGGGTAAGGTAAGAGAGGAGGATGATCAGGGGACACACGGGGTAAAGCAGCCTGAAGAGGAAGATCTGGAGGAGAACGAGAGGTTAAAAGAAGGAAAGCAGAGGAGCGGATACTCACTCAGTGAGCAGGGAGATGAGGAGACAGGGAACAAACCATCATCCTGTAAACAGCTCTAGACAGAGCACGCTGCCTCCAGAAGACGTGAGCACAGTGAAAGGGAGCAGGGAGCGCGGGGACCAGAGGGAACGCCAGGGAAGGATGCCACCTTCCCCGTGGCGCTAGCATGAGGCGCTGGCGCCCGGCCAGCCCGCATCTTCTCCCTCCCCCTCCTCCTCTCCTGCTTCTCTACCCACCTCCCTCCCCTTTTAAATTCAGAAATTTGTGTGGTGTGAAATTTCATCTGCTTTGACGGCGATTCACGGAGACACTGCCCGTGGAGGGGAGCGGCTCCCGCGCCGCACGCTCAGCGAAGCGTCCAGCGCCTTCCACACCGGCCCGGCCACCACCACGGCACCCTCCGGCTGCCCTCCCTCCCCCAGTCCCTGCCCACCCCACAGGCCTCGGGGTCAGCCCCTCACAACCTTTACAGCTCCTTCCTCACAATAAAAAAAAAAAAAGCCATTTGTGCCCTTGTCCTTAATTGTTTTTCCTGAGGTCTGTAGGCAGTTGTGCCATCCAAGTAGCCAAAGCCTGACTGCCCTGCTACTCCAGTGCACAGCTGGCAGGCAAACACGGGTCATCTGGGGGAAACTGCTGTGGAGAAAGCACTGCGCATCTCACAAAACAATAAAATAATAAAAAAGGAAAAAAGGGACATGGATGAGATGCTGAGGAACTCAGGCAGGCTGATGGAGATCCCCTTCTCTGCCAGCATTGAGTGGATCAAGCAGAAGGCAAAGCAACATGGATACTTCACCCTGGAAAGTAACCTCGTCCCCAGGAGACGTAGAGACCACCTCTAGAAGAACATCCATGGAGCTCTAAGTCACACAGGGCTAGTTCTGGGTGTCCGATTGTTACAGTGAGGAAAGCTCTGCCCTCTTGAAGCTCATATGGCCAGAGCAGATGCTGGCATGGGGAGGGTGGTGCAACCTCAACTGCTGCTCTGCACCAAGCCTGGCAGCAGCAGAGCATGACCCCACCACAGCTGCAGCTCAAAAGGGAGCACTCGGGCTGCTGCAAACCATCAGTGCTCCACAAATAGTTCAGTTCTCTGACATGAGCACCACCAGCCATTTCATTCCCCCTCTGATCCTCCTCATCACTGTTTACTTATTAATGGCTTCTTCTGTCTTATCTAGAATGATTATATAAGTGCACAGGCATAGAGCAGCATAGAGCTCCAAGCTGCCATTAAACCCTGCGGCGGTCCAGGGTCCCCTTTCCACCTCCTCCTTACCCTGGTGCTGGGCACCTTCAGGGGAGCTGCCCATCCAGCTCCTGCCGCAGCCACATCTCCCTCTGCTGCAGGCTCTGAAAACCCTTGGCCA